ATATGCTTGGGGATAAAAGATGCCTGCATAAATCTGTTTTGATTTACTCAGTATTTTGTACAATAGTTATAAAATATCATTAAGCTACATTTTTGGTAGAAGGATGCAGTCAGTATATTTAGGGAGGAACCCCAACAACTTTCTAAATAATCTGGGAGTCTGTAAAGGTTGGAGTTCATCTTCTCCACTTCCCATAGCTCTTGTGCCCTATGAATCCTCCTCCAGTGCACATGTGCTCTGAGTAAAAAATTCCTTAGCACGGGTAAAACTGCAACATGCAGGGCTGATCAAAGCACAGTGAAATTAACTTTAGATTAAACACTCCCAGGGCTGAATGAGTCACCGAAGGACCCATTTCAGTGAGAACAGTGAATTCCAAGGTGCTAGTCACTGTGTAGTCACTGATTTCTGGAGGCCATGGGTTTCTCAAAGCCTGCAAAAGCACTGTAGGTGTCTAGCTTAGTCTTAAAAACCAAATTTTAAATACCCAGAGTTAAGTGACATTATTGGTGACTGGAGATTTATGATTTTTGAAAGATTTGTGAAAGTTGATTATACTATATAAAGACATAAAGCAAATGCATATATGTACATAAACCCAAATTTGCAAGACCACACTTTGTGGTTCTTTCGCCTCTGCCTTGTCCTTATGTTAGAAAGGGAGGGAGGGAGGCTATATTTTTTCAAAACTATTTAATAACAAGAAGTTAGGGATATGATGCATTCCCAAAGTTGTTCAAAATCTTGCTTTGGACTGTATGTTTTCCTAATATGTTTTCTTGTTCCATTTGGAAATTTTGTTTGGGAGAAAAATAATTTTAGGCAATTTTCTTCAGGTTCCAGTGTCAGACATTCAGTCAGAGCATGGTCTCTACACTGTTCCAAAGCCACAGTAGGAAAATTAATTACATGCAATGTGATGCATCAAATCCATCAAGGCTTCAATAGAACAGATACAAACAAATTTTTCAGCCACTTTGCAGGAGTTGTGCCAGGGCTGAGATGCATCTTGACACCATAGAATGTTCCTGGGTTTGCATCTGGTCTGGTCTGTATTTCTGCCTGGTGTGTTCAGTGTGAATGCAAACAAATTCCAGCCACAGTCTGCAGCAAGTTCCCTTGATTTTAATAGGACAATGTCCACACATGCTTTTGATGTGTTCATAGAGATGTTTTTTGACACAGGCAAAGCAGACAAGGACTCTATTGACAGATAACTTAGAGTGGTGTAGTTGAACCAGTAATTCCTATAGATCCTCCTCCTTCTTTGCCTCTCTGAAAGATAAATATATTTATCATTGGTGCAGGTTATTTTGCCCATAAAGCTGGTGTCTGTCTCTGACCAGCACAGTGAAGCAAAATCAGCTTTTTAATTCCTTATATAGCTATTCTTGCAAAAGGAGGTATCAGGATTCATGGTTTAATAAATCTCTTAAGCAACACTTTTTGCTTCTGGAAGCAATAGTAACTACTGCCATAGTTGTTCCAAGTAAAATCATGGAACAACTTTCCCAGTTATTTGGGATTTCTGATCCCAGATGGGTTTTTACCCACTGGCTCTACTTGAATTACTCTGCTGAATAAACCTGGACAGGCTTTGCTCATTCAGTAATAAAGCACATTATTTCTTGTGCTGACAGTGACAATTAGAAATTCATATTATTCAGAAATATTCTTCTGGTATGTACAGGCTCTCCAATATCCCAAGCACATTCAGATAAGTCAGGAAGAATGCAGTGCATATGTTAGAGCTGGAAAGGGACATGGAGTTTAAATATAGAACAAGAAAGGCTATAGAAAAATGAGTGGGAGGAAATCAGAAGATGGGGTGTGTAGGCAATTTTGGTGCTTTAATCTAAAAAGACCATGATTAATAGATTAAAGGCCAGAAGGGACCACTGTGAAAATGTAGCTTTACCTCCAATGAACTTCTGGGAACTCTATTTTGTGTTGGAGTTGAGTCAAAACTGTTGTGATTGGTACACATGTTTGCAGAACATCAGGGTAAATCAAGCTTGATATGAAGATTCCCAAGGTATCTTTTCCAAGTTGGTGTAATTGCCTTTTACTGTATGATGAAAGTTGTTATTTCTCCATCTAATGGTGTTTTGAGAACACTGAAAGCAATTAGGATTCAGGAAAATGTGTGCAAATAATCAGTTTGTGTTGACTCACATTGTTGCTTGGGTTTATATTATTGCTTTTTCCATCCAATATCTGCTTCCTTGTTGAAAAGAAAAATGAAGATTAAGACAGGGCCTTGGAAACTCTGCTTTCAATATGGTCATAGTGTGTGTAAGAAGCATGATATAAATTATTATATATTTGGCATGTAGGATAACACTGAATTTTCATTTCAGAAATAAACATTATATCTTAGTAAGGATTTATGTAGTCCGTCTTTAAAAGATTTGAATACATTTCACATTAAAGGAAAAACAGCAAAGAGGCTTTCACAGCATTACTAAATTTTGTTGTTATTGTATTGTTATTATTATCATTATTATTATTATTACTATTATTATATAAAGCATGTCTATCATCTGTGTGATAGAGAAAAATAATAACTGGTCTGCACAGAGAAAAAAAAATATGGCTTTTGGCCCTAATTTTGTTATTTAAGCTCATGTTGTAGTAAAGCAGAGCAGTGATCTTTTAGAATGAATTACTCATGTGTTTAAGCAGAAGTTCTTTGCTGAAGTGTGGCCATAGTTTCTGCTTTACACACGAAAAACTGGATTCCAATCTAAATTCCTTTTTATTTCAGACATGGAATTCCTGTTGAGCTGGGAGGACTGGAACCTGGATCACTGAAGATTCTGTGCAAATTGCTCATGCCTACAAAAAGAATATTAAATACCAGGTGGGCTGTGATAATCCTGGTGGTGAGGGTGACTCAAGGTGTTGTGGAACGTCCATTCCAATCCTGCCCAGAGCTCCCAGCCATGAGGTGGAACATCACACGCCATACACCACAATAAAACACTGGCAATGAACTTCGAAGGTCAACAGCTCTTCATTTGAAAGATATTCTCAGAGAGCAGATTTTCTCAGAGATTCTCAATTCAGGAATTCTTTACCCTGACTGACGCAAATGAGGGAAAACAAACAGGGTCTAAAAAAAAAGTGTTTCTGAAGACATTAAATGAAGTGTTCAAGGCCAGATTGGATGGGACTTTGAGCAGCATGGTGTGGTGCAAGGTATTCCCAGCAGGGAGGTTGGAATGAGATGAACTTTGAGGTCCCTTCTAAACCAAACCATCATAAGATTCTATGATTGTCTATCACAAAAGTCAAAGTACACGCATTTTTTCTAGAATGCTGTTCTACTTCATCATATTATGTATTTTAAGCCCTAATACTTTATGGATTTCTGAAATATCTGGTTTGATTTATTAGATTAAATGATTTTTTTTCTTGCTTTTGTTACATTTATTTGGATTTCTGAAATGTGTTTTAATTTTTAAAATTAAAGCAGCACTTTTTCTATTTTCTGTCAACTTTTGTTTTATTATTTTACAAAAATGTTTAATTTTCATGAAAACCTAAATCTGAGCAATTAAAGAAGCAGCTGTTAAAAACACTGAAATAAAGTCCATTTTTAGCTGTGTTTGTTTAAAAATCCCCATTTTCAAGGCAGTTCTGTTACCTTAATTGAACAGTTTATTATCTGGTTATTTTTGTTGTCTCTGGCACTGTCTTGTTCAGAGCCTCTGGTGGTCCAGACACTCCATGCACAGCCAACAAGAAACTGTCCTTGCCTCCAGGAGTTTGCCAAATAAATGAGCAAGAGACACAAAAAGCAGGAGATGAAGCAGTGCCAGAGCAAGGTCTTACCAAGAAACTGGAAGAACCAAAGGATTGAAATCTGGTGCTCTGACCTGCTTTCGAGACCATGAATGAGCTAAAGATCAAATATTTTCTTGCTTAGTGCTGGAACAAAAGCCCATGGAGGTGTAAGCCAAGGGGGATGAAGAGGAAGAGGAGGAGCTTCCTGGAAGTATCTTTAAAATATCTGTGTTAGAGATAACTACTAAATAGACAAAACACTGACAGTGTCTTCTTCACTGTCTTCCTCACTGCATCCCTGGAACTGCCATGTATTATGAAGTGTCTCTGCAAACCTAAAAGTGAGCAGGCAAAGCTCAGAAGAACATGGAAATGCTTTCCTCAGCCCAACACCACACTACAAGTTGCATCTCTGTATTCCTGATGGTTTTTTTGTCCTGCAGCTGGCATTGTCAGGGCCAGGGACTCCAGAGCCCTGACCCATTTTTTGCCAATGACTCCCAGGTTTATCTCTAGAAAAAATGAGCATAGCAGAATGAATTCCTTTATTCTGTTGCAAAGAAGTGGAATGTTTGGAGAATGAGAGAAAGCATCTACCCTGTCCAACCAATATAGAATCACAGAATCATTAAGGCTGGAAAAGACCTTCAAGTCCATCAAGACCCAATATCATGCTCACTAAGCCATATGACAAAGTGCCATGTCTATCCATTTTTCTAATGCCTCTGAGAAAGTTGACTCCAGCACTTCTCTGGGGAGCCTGTTTCAATGCTTAACCACTATTTCAGTGAAGAAATTGCATTGTATATTGTCAATATTCTGTTCTCTGAAGGGGTGTTACTACCATTACTTTTAAAAGCTAAAAACCATTTAAGCACTGCAGCAATATAAGTCCCCCCACTTTGACAGTGCTACATATATCAAATGTATGTTTGGTCTCAACCTAGAGCAACAAGACCAACATCATCCCTTGTTTTCTGTAGGAGTGATGCTGTTCTCCTTATACAACTAGCAGTAAACAGCATTTCTGAGACCAGAAATATGTGACAAGTCTAAAATTTGTGTTTGTGGTCTGCTTTTCATTGAATAAAGTTCTTCAACAGGAGTGATAAGGATGTTTCATGTCCATTTTTGTGGGACTAAGATAGGATAAAATCAAAATACTCTATAAGGGCTCCTCTATACCTACATATGGGAAGTATTATTTCCTTCCTGGGAACAGACCACACCAAATATCTGCCAGCATGGACCACTGGAAAGTTCTGTAAGGTAGGAATAGTGTAAGTCATTATAGATCCAGCTCAACTGCTGTATCATTAGTTCACCTAATAGAAATGAGAATAAAAAGTATTTCCATAGACGTGGAATTGGGATTTTGGGTGCTTTTTTTTTTCCTACTGAAGACATTGCTTTACTTGTTTTTTCATATATATGATGCTGAAATACATTCTCCTTCAGGACAAGAGGGTTTAGAGAAGGTGATGAGGGTGTTTTGATATGAAATGACATGGTCGTTTTGCTGAGATATTTGCAAATCTGGGCTGTTTAAACAGCAAAGATTTTAATATGATTTTTGAGTCATATGCCCTCATTAGTGTTGCTAATTAAAAAGTGATACTCATGTGAGATGTGTGAACAACAAAATAAACCCAAATATAGTGTATTTTATAAAAGGAATGTTTGGCAAACAAAAATAACAAATAGGGCCAGACCCTATTTAATCTCAGTCTTGTCTGATTGTCAACACATTGTCTGCTGTAAACAGTATTTGTGGAGAATTTTGAACTGTTTGCAGATCATCTACCCTGGTTTTGAAGATGCTGCTGGTTATGTGAAAGTATTTGCTGTGTAGCTTGAATTAGCTAATTTATTTTCATTGCCCATTGTCAATCTCCCAATAATTGCTTGTAGCTATGCACTGTCGCAGTATGTCATTAATAATGGAAATCTGCTGCCACTTAGTCTAATGTTATGTGAAAGCACTCTAACTATTTGAAAATGACTAAAATTAGGCTGCAAAAATTGGTAGGATTCTAGAGAATTTACAATTCTTACAGAGAAACTATTCTCTTGGTTTATGGATAAAAAAAATTCTGTTACTATCTGTAACTTGAATATAATTTTGTATTAAATTCTATGAGATTCTTGAAAATACACAAAATCATTGTCAATATTTATTAAAGGCAGAAGTATCCCTAAGTAAAAGCTTTCATGGGGGATTTCAATACTTTTGTATGTTAACCACAGATAATGAAATTCAAACAGAGCAAATAACAGAGGAACAACAGATGGAACAAAGCTTTCCAAACCAGTCTGTGAAAGAGATATTGGTATAAAATGGGGATTTCAAATCACTTTTTAGGTTAGGTTTTGCTTATGGCTCTGAAATGTGGTAGTCAGGCTGTGACTGACAGTTCTGGTGTTTGAAAGGTGCAGCAAGAGATTTGGAAATTAGCAGAGATAGAGAAGATGCAGAGAATTCAGTTAGATCACAGAAAGGACAGGAAAGAGGCACAAAGTCATAGGAGTCTTGCAGAGCAGGTGGGAAATGGGATCTTTGCAGTAGAAATAAAGAGGTAAAAAAAGAACAGAGAAGGGAAAGCCTCAAAATTATCACCCAGCTGATAATAACGACCTTCCTTTGTTCATATTTTTTTTTTACCTTTACAAGATCTTCACAAACATTTTACTTTTCTATGTGCTTTCTTTCCTCTTGACCATGCCTTGACTGTACTGTATTTTTTCTCTTCATAACTGAACCCATTACAAAAAAAAAAAAGTGAGTTTTTTCACTGAACATCATAAGCGTCACTCTTCCTGAACCTGACTTGCAAAAATCTCTATCTCTCTCCTTTTCTGTATCTTCCCTAGCTTCCACAAAAGTTATTTTTATATTTCTCTTAGAAGTTATTCTCTAGACAATTTCATGATCAATTCATTGTCTCTAACTCTACTGTCAAGGTCTGCAATGGGGTTAAGTAGATCTTATTCTCAGCCCTTCACCCACTCAGAGTGACTCAGCTTTCACCTATTTAGTTTATTACTTCCCCTTCTACTTCAGAACATCCTCACAAAAATTTCCATATACCAGGCCTAACTGTTCATCATTCTTTAACTTTCCAGCCTTTACTGAGCTTTGAAGCCCAATTGGCACTAACACAGAGAAGCTGTGGCTGCCCCTGGATCCCTGGAAGTGTCCAAGACCAGGTTACATGGGATATGGAGTAACCTGGGATAGTGGATGGTGTCCCTGCTCATGGCAGGGGGTGGAACAAAATGATTTTCAAGATCTCTTTCAACACAAACCGTTCTGTGATTCTATCATTCAACTATGAATAAATGCCAGAATTTCAAGAAGAAAATGGAGGAACACTTTAACAATTGCAATTATGGCAAAGAAATTCTGAAAGTAAAACCAGTTTTTAACAGATAAAACATGCAGTGTCACATCCCAAAGACCCTAAATTACTTTCCAATGCACTGAAATTAGAGCTTCCTTCCAGAAGGTCACTGTGTATGGTTCTAAACATTGGTTTTCAGGAAAATGGGGCACATTCATAGATCACTGAACACATCAGAAACATGTCTGGCTTAGGGTGTTCTGAAGCTACAGTTGGTTTAGAGGCTGGGAAGGAAGTTGAAGAAAATATAATATGTTGCCCTGGTTTTATGGGGTTTCCCTGGGCATCTGCTTTTTGCCAGCTATGGGAGACAACGTGCTGAGAGAGATGATGAGGTTCAGTCAGGTCTCTCTGATGTTTTTAGTGGAACTCAGAATAATCTGACTGTGAGTTAGACAAGCATGGCTTGTGCTTCTGAACTGTGGAAGGAGGGAATAGCATTTCAGGGTTACTTTAGACTTCTCTAGTGGAGATGTCTGCATCTGCCCTTGAAGGAAACAGACACATTCAGGCTTGATTCATTTGACCTACTTGAACCTTCTGCTTTTGGTGACATCAGTCACAGCCTCAAGAGACCCATTCCTCTCCATTGACCACAAAAGTAGTCTGGGGTGTGCAGCTCAGAGATAGAATTTTACATTTCAGACATTTTTAATGTAATCAGCATTACATTAGAATAATTCTATCTGGAATGCATTTCCAATAATTCTGAAGCATTTGAGTCATATTTTGACCTAAAGACAAAGAAAATACTGCAAAACCAATAAAACTTATTGCAAATCTGATCCTACTCACTGATTCCCATTCCCTGCCCCAAAAATCCATGACTCAACCCACAGATGACACATACTACAAAATGAGGCAAGATTGGCATTAACAGTCATACAGATAGCTGGTCTAAATGCATGTCATTTTTACAGTGTAATTAATTTTTTCCACAATGGCCACCAGCAAGTAGAGAGAACATTAGACTAACATGTTCTACATTGGTCTAATTCAAACAGTTACAAGGGTCACAACTCCAGGCACTGTCAAAAAAGGTATTAATATGATTTATGTACTTCATGGTATTGTCACATATCAGTCAGCTTTGAAGACTGAGTGAGATACATCAGGACCAGCAGGAACCATTAGGCTCAGACCAGGAGGAAAAATAAATTTTTATAGAGACTGGCCAAGCATCTCCATCTTCATATATCTCCATAATTGTACCTAATAACTGCTCCCAATGCAGGTTCCTTGATGAGAATAGAAGATAGAAGATAGATGGAAGATAGAAAATAGATGGAAGATGCTTCCTTCAATAGTACTCCCTTTAAATATATATTTCAGCAATTCATGGCAAATAAAATTCTTGAGTCATGTTATCCACACATTAAGAAATTATTGGTTTCTTCTCTGTGAATTTTCCCTTTTTTTCATTTAAGTCGTATAAATTTTTAGCACCTAATTATCATCAGGTACTTAGTAGTGGATTTCATTCTCCAGTTGGAGAGAGAAGTTCTAGTTTGTCTACAACATGAAAGCAGAAAGGTAGGAATCATTCCATGTGGACTCATAGCATGTTTACATGACTGCCTGGTGGGTTTGGGTTTTGAGTTCTGTGTGGGGTAAGACTCAGCTGGTTGACATCTTTCCATTAATGACTTACTTTGAGCTCCCAGTTTGGGCATCAAGATCTTCCATCTTAAAACTGTGGTGTCAAAACAAAAATTGCTGCATGAACATGTTTCATGTCAAGGAGGGTTAATTTTTACTGTTTTGCATGTTTCAGGAAGAATTTCTTCATTGAAAGGGCTGTCAATTGCTTGGGATGGATTTCCCAGAGAGGTGGTGGAGTTACCATCCCTGTAAGTGTTCAGGAAAGGACTGGACATGGCACTTGGTGCCATGATCTCATTGACAAGGTGATGACTGGCCACAGGTTGGACCTGATCACTTTGGAGGTCTTTTCCTTTCTCATTCTACCCCATCTCTTGTTTTTTATATTCAGTTTCTCTTGCAGACAGAATCTTGTCACAGATTTGCTGACTGGTGGTAATGACATCTTCACAACCCCACCCAAACTCGCATGAGAACCTGAACGGCTGTAAAGACAATACTGGATTTTCTGTGATTTCTGTGATTCCATGTCAAATAGGTGAAAAAAAAAAAAAAAAGAATTGGTTGAATTTAGACAGACCAGATTTATACAAGCTGTAAGAATCATGTCTTTGACTCAAAAATAGCAACTGATTTTTTGTTACAGGGAGATAAGGAGGCACAAAGAGATGAGGGAAAGAAGGAAACAGTGTTACTTCAGCACAAATATTTTTTTCAAAGCAAGGCTGATGTTCTTAACTGTGGGATTCATGAGGAGCAGTAACAATGGTTATGGTTTTTCACCATAAACTTGTGATAAAAAATGAATCACCCCTCCAGTTTCAAACCAAAGGCAGATTGACCCATCTGTCATAAAATCATCCAGGATGAAACTGGGGGAGCCAAGGTAACTAATCCTGATACTGGCTGCTGCCTTTGGCTACAGAAACTGGAATGTTTTGGCAATTCCAATCAGAGAGGCCTGTGAGGATCACTGGCCCCTTTGATAATTGATCAGACTCTTATGCATTGGAATGATTTTACCCAAACACTTGGGCTTCAACTGAGATGTTTGTCATTAGGAGAACAACTTTGGTATACATTTGTGTCAATCCTGCATATTTTTCTATAGAATATTGTCAAAGAATTTGCTCTTTTCCTCTTAAAACTCTGAGTATGGATCATCTTTTTATAATCTCTGGATATGTGTCTATAAAAGAGAGAAGTATGGCATTTTTATTTGATTTGGATTTAAAATGTTCCCTTTTTTATGGATATACTGAAGAT